TTCATCTGGCAGGAGTTGACCACGATGCTGTCGTTGGGGTTGAGGTTGCGGGTGCTGACGATGCCGGGGGAGTAGTAGCCCCTCATCAGCAGGTAGTTGGTGTGGGAGGCCTGGGCGGGCTTCACCTCCATGCTCCGGCGCTTGCCCCCGATGCCTTCGTCCAAGTCTTCATCTTCATCCTCATCGTCTTCTAGGCTGCCGTCCTTCCCCAAGCTAGAAGAAAATTGCCCTGGAAACCTGAGCACAGGCCAGCCAGCTGCTACTGTAGCCTGTCCCCTCCCTCGAGAGGCCTCTGTGGTTGGGCCTCAGCAGTGGCCCCAGCAGCTGTGGCCACCCCAGCATCTGGCTGTGCTTCATTACAAAGCTGGGGTGTATGGCTGCCCCAGATGCATCCCCTTCCCCACCTTCCAGCACATCCCGCTCACCCCTTGTCACATATCCACGTCTCTGTGAGGACTGTTCCTCTTGCCCGTCTCTCAGTCCAGAAAACACCCACTTCCCCGGGAAGCCCCAGTTCCGCTGCCAGGCCCTCAGGACCAATTCTCCCTTCTCTGCCCCTTCCCTGCCCCGCTGTGCTGCATCCTTCTCTTTAGTGGATTCCCATAGCACCCAGGAGGCACCAGCAGAGGATGCCTTGGACTGGACTGTAACCCCCAGTCATTCATCTGCAAAGCCCGTCCTGCAAGCTCCCAGAAGGCACTGCTGACCCCTGCTTGTCTGTCTCGCCAATGCCTAGCACGTGTCCAGACCCGATTTCGTGGATGCAGGACTCTTACCTTTTGATGACCTCATTCTCCACCATTGAGCTGTCTACCACGATGATCTGCTCCGGGATCCTGACGTCCACGGAAATAAGGCCCAGAGAGAAGAGGGTCAGGACGGCCACACAATTTCCTCCAGGGCCGTCCAATGAAAAGGCCACCATGTCATTTGTGGGCTCGTTATTATCCTGGTCTTTGAAAGAGAAACGATCAGGCTGGTCCAACTTGCCGGCAGCCCGCATTCTGTCCAAAAACTGGAATGACTCCGTGCAGATGGTGCTTGGAAACCGCCATGTAAAAATCCTACAGACAAAAAGGAAGGGCCTGAGGGGTGGCCGTGGGAAGCCTTCATTTGGACAGGCTATGAGCACACCAAATCATTGTGGTGAGAACTAACTGAAACGCCCCTCTTCTCCCCTACAGCTCTCTTTCCCATCCCAAATGAAGGCGCTGCGTTCCCAGCTAGCGGTGTGTGTGTCTCTCTTCCCCGCCCGCCTCAGCATCTTCCAGGCAGAGTCCCGTCTCATCTGACTCAATGTGGCCTCACCCGGCACTCCAGGAGGGCGCTGGCAGGCTCACCTCACCAGCACTCACCGTACACAGCTGCTGAACTAGGGATGGTGAACATGCTTTCTGTAACAACAGTCTCTGCACAAAGCCAGCCCTGGTCTGACATAAAAAGGAGGGGACACGTGTGCCTATGCTGTCTCCATGCAGTGCCTGATGAGTCACTTCCCTGGCTCTGTCCAGAGAGCAGCATGCCACAACCCTGCTACCAGGGTCAGAGGGAGGGACCCAAGGGGCCTTGTTTGCTGACCACCCCCCTCGGTTCAGACGGGAACACGCGGTCGAGCAGTGGCTCCGTGACAAATGGCCTTGTTGGACTTGGACATGTATCTTCTGCTGCCAAATCTACTTCCCAGAGGCCTGAGGGTCATTTGGGGTGAGGGTTTAAGGAGGAGAAACTGTCTACCATCACAGGGAAGGGATGGGATCAAAGAGCTGAAAGGAGATTCTTGGTATTGTCTCAGCATCTGACTACAGCCCCATGCTGACTGGAGGGTAGGCAAGGAGAATGGCGTGAAGGGGAAACCATCGAGGTGGCAGCCTGGGAATAGTCTCAGGGGTTTCCTCTGATGTGGTCAGGAGGCTGATGATGCCATGCCTGCTGCCACAGGAAGCCACACTGCAAGAGCACTTCAGGAGGAGGCCTGTCTGAATGCACCTCTGCACCCCAACCCTGCACCAGCTGCTGGTGCTGCAAATGGGCCTGGGAGGCTTCCCAGGTCTCGGGGCTACGCGGGAGAGGGACTGAGGCTAAGTCCAACCAAGAGAGTGGACTTCCAGCCAGGCCAATTATTAAATGCAACACTGATTTCACACCACTTGATGAGAGAAACAAAAATAAACTACCTGCAAAAACGGCAACGCCACCAACACAAAGATACTACCAGCGCCCACCTTATCCCCACACCAGAAAGGAAGACAGGGGCTGGAGGAAACCCCAGCCTGCATCTTGCGCACGAGGCTTTGGGGGGTCCTGGCTCCTACACACTCTCATGGCCCTGGATGTTTCCTTGGTTTCTCTTTACAGACAGGGCGTGGCTCAACCTGAGTACCCAGGGCTTCTGACAGGCACTCACCTGTAGTAGGTCTGGGACAGCTGGTAGGACATTGGCACAAAGGGCAGGGCCCGGTTCTTCTTGGGGCCCAGCATGTGGTTGACGCGGCGCCGGTTGACCAAGCTTCTTTTCTGGCACTCCATAAAGGCCTTCACGAGAACGTGGTCCTTGTACTCCCGATAGAGGCGGAAAGTCTGCAACACAGCGTGGCAAGGGTGAGTAGGTTCTCCAGTCAGCCAGGGAGAGGGCCGGGGTATGTGGATGCAGAGGCTGTGACTAATGCTTTACAGAGGAAGTGACAGACTGGGGGAGGCTGGCGTGTGTGTGTGTGTTAGTGTGTATGTGTATGGGGGGTGCTGAGGAAGTCTGCAATCCCAGGTCAGTCTGCAATCATCACGTCACACTTCCACAGACCACAAAGGACAGGGAACTGACGAGACCAGGTTTATTCACTCCAAAACTGATTTCTTTTGGATACAAAGACAGAGGAATAAGCACAGAATCATCTGGTCGACCACTCTGTCCCTTGGCCTCCCACCCAGCCCTCGGTACGTCGGGTTGGCCCTACCTTCCAGTGCATCAGGTTCGTACCATCTGCCCTGGCCCATCTAGTCCACGCCACTGCTGTTTCTCGCCATCGTTCCCAGATGACTGGTCTCCCTCCTTCCGCATGTCACCTCCCGATAACCCCTGACCATTCTCCACAGCAGCCAAAATCACCCTTCAATGCCTACATCTGACAACACATTCCTGCCCTGCCTCAAACCCCCCTCTGCAGATGCGACAACAACTGGTCCTTTCTGAGGACCGGGAGCTAGTGGGGCCCGCCTGCCTGCCACTCTGGCCTCACCTCCTCCAACACCACCCCTTGCTCACTGCCCTCCAGCCTCCTGGGCCTTCTTACACGTCTTGAAAAAGTCTAGGCATCCTGCCTCGGGGCCTTCGCCCTGCCACTCCCCTAAATCGCTGCAGGGCTGATTCCTCAACATTCAAGTCTCAGGCCAAATATTTCCCCTGAAATAACAAATTCTTCTCCATTCTCCTCTGTGGTCAACTGCCTTGCATTATCCTGTTTTATTTTCTCCATAGCAGCTACCTGAAATGATCTCATCTGCTTACTCCTTGTTTAGAAGTCCCAGGAGAACACAGATTCAATTTTTTTTTTTTTTTTTTGAGCCAGGGTCTCACTTTGTTGCCCAGGCTGGAGTACAGTGGCACCATCAGAGCCCACTGCAGCCTCGACCTCCTGGCTCAAACGATCCTCCTGCCTCAGCCTCCTGGGTAGCTGGGACTACAGGCACTATGTTTGATTAATTTTTGTATTTTTTGTAGAGATGGGGTTTTGCCATGTTGCCCAGGCTGGTCTCAAACTCCTGGCCTCAGATGATCATCCCACCTCAGCCTCCCAAAGTGCTGGGATTACAGGAGTGAGCCACCAGGCCTGGCCTTGATTCAACTCTTGCTGCTGCCACCCAGTGCCTAGGCGGAAGGAAGGAGGTGCCTCTGCTGGACATGCTATGGTGGCTTCATGGCTCAGCCTGCTAAGTCTCATGGACCTGGGCCCCGCCTAGTGGAAGAGCAGCTCAAAGGACTGTGCGGTCAGCAGAGTCTCTATTCCTCCAAGCTTCTGAAAAGGACAAGCAACCAGCTGTTCCTGGGTATCCAGCATCTGCCAGCCTCTGAAAGAGCTCCTATAGGACTGTCTCCTCAAAAGCACCGGCCAAAAAAAATCCCTCTCATGGTCTAAGGATTTTAGGTGCTGCCCCAGGACCCTGAGTGCCAGAGGCGGCTGAGACACATGGACTTTAAGTGGTTCTCCGAGGTCACACTGCCAGGCAGGGGTGGAACTGAGGAGAGAAGAGCAACCTCACCACTGCACCTTCCTTTCAGCGGAGGGACACAAGGGGACCGGAGACCAGCATGGTGGTCAGCTGGGGCTCTGGGGCAGCACTCAGGTGTTCCCAAGAGCTTGTCTGACTGAAGCCTGTGCAACTCTGCTTCCTCTAGACAACAGCCATGCATCAGTCCTGGACATGCAGACCATTAGGCCTTATGGGGAAACACTTTCCAAGTGGTGGACGGCAGAAGCTGGGAGAGGCCAACACAGCATCATCCTTCCCGAGAGCCCTGGAGAGAAGCTGCAGCTCACTCCTTGTGACAAGCCTTCTGTGACTTTGCTCTTTTCTTCCATTTGAATGTAATTAGTGAATGGGTGTATTCTCATACAATGGGATAGGAGTGGTCAGGCCCTGTGTGGGGAGTTGAGGGGTATGGTTTACCCACTCACATTTCCAAGAGGCTGGGCCTGTCACAGGCACAGTGAACCCATCTGTGGCCTTCCACTGGCTTCCCAGAACCTTGAGCTCCTCAGGGGCCTCGTGGGGTCCCCTATGGGGCTCTGACATTGCTATTGGCCTTCCAGTCCTCACTCAAGAGCCACTGAAGAAGTCACTAAAGAAGTGTCCTGCTTCCTGCTGGGGGAGGAAGGCCGCGCGGGCCAGGTGGTCTTTCTTAGGTGACTTTCCATGCCCCTGGGGGTTGAGGCAGAGTAACTAGGCCTTCGGTACTACACAACAGAGCCCAGATGCCACCTGAGATAGAACTGGAGGAGGAAAAAGCAGTGGGATAATACTGGGGACAGGCCTGGCTAGAAGGCAGGGGGCATGGCTTTTGCCATGGGGCTGGGCTTTCTAGTTTGGAGGTGGGGTAGGGTGAAAAAGATCCCCAAAGTCCCCTCCAGCTCTGAGCCACTAATGAGCAGAAGAGCTGGAAGGCCCACCCCAAAGCCAGAGGTCAGAAATTTGGACTCCTATATGCAATGTTGGAAGTTAATTTGAAAACAAAGTTGTTTTTTACCTTTTAAACAAGTGTGAGACCAACAAAATTCGGTCTGTGGACTGTTTATTTGGAACTTCTACCCTACACTATGTATGATTTTCTCTGCAAGTTCAGGCTCAGACAGGACTTTGCTTTCTTCATCTACAAAATGCTGGGGTGGCAGAGGGGTGCATGGCACTGATACTAGCCTTCCACTCCAAAATGTGTACCCTTGGCTGGATGTGTAAAACAGGCACGAGGAAATAAAACACAGGGCTCAAAGGAGGCACGGCAAGCATGTGGAAGACATTTCTTGGGCCCCTCTGATGGTCCCACATGTCCCTGCAGGAGGCACAGAGACCCTCCAGGTGATAACTGAAACAGGAGAGATCACATGCACACTCAGTCTTGGGTGTGCTGAGGCCTGGCCACAGCTAAGACTAGGGCCAGTGTGCTGCTCTGAAGCAGGGCATTTTCCTGAACCAGCTCCATTGCCCCCAGTCCTCCCTGCCCCACTGTGGCCAAAGTAACGAGCACGCGCCTGGAAACGCAACAAGCACGTGTGGTCCCCGGCAGGGTTGACACCACTGTTTCTGCAAGGCTGGCCTATAGGCCCCTTCAGGACTGGGGGTGGTGGCATACTCTTGTCAGGGCCCTACTCTGCTGCTCCTAACTGGAGTCTCTGAGGGTGGGGCTTGGGCTCCAAATGTTACAAGATCTCTCTGTGGACTCCTAGGCCATCAGGTCCTCACCCATCCAAACTCATCAGTGGGACTAGAAAAGTCCTTTGTTTTCTTATTTTTTTTTTCCCCTCATATTCCCAATCAGGTAGACTTGTTAATGTAAGCCAGGAGCAGATTTTTAGGCTTACAGATGAAATGCAAAATGAATGGGTCCTTGTTAGAATTCACTTTTGCGATGACTTGGGGGAGAACGAGGCCCTGGGTGGCAGGCTGGGGTCCCTCAGCACCTCTCTGTTGGGGTCCTGGGTGATGACTGAGCTGTGTGGTCTCAGGCATATGATTTAACTTCTCTGAACCTCAAGTGTCCACATTTGTAACAGAGTAGTAAGAGCACTGACTTCCTAGGCTCCACCGGGGGTGGGATGCCATTTCCCTTCCTCACTCTCATCTTCCTTCAGCCGCACTAGAGCAGCCGCGCAGACCTGTGTCCTCGGGAGACAGACGACTCACTGCGCACAGAAAAGGCAGCTTTCCCACCCAGTGACCTCCCAATGACCAGAATATCTTGGCATTCGTAAGTGATGATTTGAAAAGCTACGCTGTAGAGCTCAATTACTTTCTCAGTTCTTTTGCCATGCCTCATTTCCTCTCCTGCTTCATTTTCTGTCTTAAACATTAGACTTAACAACCTCAGCTCTGAGTGGGATTGTGGAGGTCACTGGATCCCGTCCCCATGCTTTAAAGACTAAAGAGAGAGATGAGGAGAAGCTGGCCAAGGGTTGCAAAGCTTCAGTTCTATGAGATGCTGAGCCCTGGAGGCTCACAGTGTGGTAATGACAGGTGACAGTCTGATGCTGTACACCTGAAATGTGCCAGGAGGAGAGACTGCAAGGTGCTATGCTGGGTGATGGATGTGCTAATCAGCATGATTGTGGCGATTATTCTGCAATGTATACATTTATCAAATCCTCTAGTTTGATATGCCATAAATATACACAATAAATACAAAGAAATAAAAATAAAAACAATGATAAAAAAATAAAGTCGAAAGACGTGTGGGCTGGCATGTTGGGGGAATCAGCCCCTGATAGCCCACGGTGGAGACCAGCAGGGGCCAGCACCTCATGAGCCCAGCCTGGGAAGGGCCCACATCCCCACCGTGCTGCCGAGCAGCCGATACCCACCTGGAATGACTGGTAGGACTTCATCTGACTGTCCGAGAGGGCCAGCGTGCTCTGGATCAGGTTCTGGAGCACCAGAAAGTGGATGTCATCCACACTGAAAGAGAGGGGAAGGCAGGGCACCATGAGGCCACAAGCACTGCCCGTGTTGGGCGGATGCAATTCTCAGGGAAGAAAACTTGAATCTCACAAAAGGGACAAAAACGCTGAAATTATTCACAAAAGAAAACACAAGTGATGGTTTCTAGGCTTTACTAACAGGTCACTTTTTGCAGGAGAAAAGTTTCTATTTAGTGGATAAGGGGTGACCTACCCGGAACGGGTTTACATGAGAACTAACAAATGTGGTTAGTACTTCTCATTTCTTTCTCTCTAATTCCAAACAAGTTTTTCTCCAAAGAAAAAAGGTTTCTCACTGAAATACAGAGCTAAAATCAAAGTGACTGTTGATTATCCAAGATGGAAAAACAAAACCTGAGCTTTTGGAACCAAGTTTTGCTTGGAAAGCTCATGGGTTGGAAGTTTAAATCCTTTCCTTGACCTACCTTAATGCTTGGCCAGTGATACTTCAGGCCAGGGGGTCAGGAACTTTTCCTCTAAAGGGTCTGATGATACATGTTTTAGTCGTGGTGGGCTCTATGGAATCTGTTGCAACTAGAGCTGACCCTTCTGCAATGTGGTCTCAACTGTGCGGATTCCAGTTACACATGGACTTTCTTTCACCTCTGCCACCCTGGAAACAGCAAGACCAACCCCTTCTCTTCCTGTCCCTTCAGTCTACTCAAAATAAAGATGACAAGGAAGACCTTTAAGATGATCTACTTCCATTCAGTGAAGAGTAATTAGATTTTCTCTTCCTTATTTTTTTTTTTTTTGAGAGAATTTCGCTCAAGTCACCCAGGCTGGAGTGCAATGGCATGATCTCAGCTCACGGCAACCTCTGCCTCCCAGGATCAAGTGATTCTCCTGCCTCAGCTTCCTGATCAGCTGAGATTACGGGTGCCCACTACGCCCGGCTAATTTTTGTAGGCAGGGGTTTGACCATGTTGGCCAGGTTGGTCTCAAACTCCTGACCTCAGATGATCCGCCCACTACAGCCTCCCAAAGTGTTGGGATTACAGGTGTGAGCTACCGTGTCTGGCCCCTTATTTTTTCAAGTTTCTTTTCTCTAGCTTATTTTATTGTAAAGTATATAGAGAGTACAGTATATAGTACATATAACATACAAAGTATGTATTAATCAACTGTTCTTTATTGATAAGATTTTTGGTCAATAGGAGGCTATCAGTGGTTAGGTTCTAGGGAGTCAGAAGTTCTATGTGGGGCCAGGCATGGTGGCTTTACATCTGTTTATTAATCAACTGTTATTGATAAGGCTTCTGGTCAACAGTAGGCTATCAGTGGCTAGGCTTTAGGGAGTTAAAAGTTATACATAGGGCCAGGAGTGGTGGCTTACACCTGTAATCCCAGCACTTTGAGAGGCCGAGGTGGGTAGATCACTTGAGGTTAGGAGTTCAAGACCAGCCTGGCCCCACTGCACTCCAGCCTGGGTGACAGAAAGAGACTCTGTCTCAGAAGGAAAAAAAAAAAGTTCTATGTGGATTTTTGACTGTACAGGGTGTTGGCGTCCTCTAACCCCTAACTTGTTCAAAGGTCAACTGTATTCACCTCTGATATTCTCACATAGAAGTAATGTAGACAACATATAGAATGGGCATGGCTGTGTGCCAATAAAACTCTTAACACAAACAGGTGGTGGGCTGGATCTGGCCCTAGAGGAACAGGCCCAGAGCAATAGGTTGTCAGCCACCAAGTTAAGTAGCTGAGGAAAAGTGACTCTATATACCAGTACTTGCCTGTTAAGTTCATCCTCTTTCCTGGTTTGATCCTTTTCATCCCCAATTGCCAAAACTCGGTACCTGCAAAAGAAACGTAAGAGCGTGTCAATGAAACAAAGCAGCTCCTCACTTGCCAAGCGGATGCTGGTTCAAGATGGCCATTTATTGGCTCGGGTGTTGGGAGCGGGGGAAATGTTAAACGCACCAAAAGTCAAGCGCTGTGCATGTGAATTAAAACAAGAATATACCCCGTTCTGCCTGTTATAAAAAGGAGGGCAGAGAGAATGTGAAATGTTCACTTACTGACAATTATGTGGCAACATGAAAAATGTGAATTGGCAAAGATCCACTGTTGTTAAAGAAACAGAATTCAAAACTGTGAGTGTGTTAGAATATGAAAACAAACAAACAACAACAAAAACAAGCACAAGGAAGAAGCCTGGAAGAAAATGTCCTGGAAATAATCTAAAAAAGTCATTCTCGTAGAATTAGGAAAAAGGTGGTTTCCGGAGGCTGGGAGGTGGAAGGGAAGGAATGAAGAAAGGAGAGATGCTGAGCAAAGGTTGTAAAGTTACAGTTAGACCAGAGGAATCAGTGTTAATGATCTAAAACTGCATGCTGACCACAGTTACATATTTTGAAATTACTAAAATAATAGATTTTTAACATTCTTACTGCCAAAAGAAGTTGGTGAGATGACAGATATGTTGGTTAGCTTGATTTTGTCTTTCCTCAGTGGACACATGTATCAAAACATCACACTGTACCCCATAAATATATAAAATTATTATTCATCAATTAAAGAAATATGAAAATCCTCAAAGAGTAGCCATATTAGGTGCTGGAATTATAAGCTATTTCCCCATTTCCTTTTTGAGCTTCATGTAATATTATTTTACTGTATTTATACCAAACAAGTAAATTAAAGAATAAATCATAGAACTGACTTTTATAAAATATGGTAAATTGGCCATTTGTAGGATATTTCTTTGGTTTCTACCAAACTAAGGGAAAAATTAATTTTGATTGCAATAGTAAATCCCTCTTATAATTTAGTGCCAAGAAAAAGAAACTTTTCAGAAACATGTGAAAATAACCTCTGCTTCCTGGGGTTCAAGCGATTCTCCTGCCTTAGCCTCCCAAGTAGCTGGGATTACAGGTGTGTGGCTAATTTTTGTATTTGTAGTAGAGATGGGGTTTCACCATGTTAGCCAGGCTGGACTTGAATTGCTGACCTCAGGTGATCGCCTGCCTCAGCCTCCCAAAGTGCTGGGATTACAGGCATAAGCCCCTGCGCCTGGCTTGGAACCATTTTCTATTTTGCCCTGCCTGCCAGAATGCTCAGGATCACGATCAGTATTAAACTGTTACACTTGCAACCTTTTCTTCTCTCTAAATGGTTCTCGGGCTCTCCTTTAAATATTTGTCTTCTTTTATGATTGAAAGTTGCCCCATAACTTTACAAAAAATATGTGGAGATACATATTACAAATCAGTAAAAAATTACGAATTTTTACTAATTTTGTTACAAGATGTAAACGGACCATTGGATTGACTTTAAACCATGTCATTTGGGAATTCTGGGGAACAGTTTACTGCAAAACAAAAACAAAACCAGAAAGTAAGTAAAGAATTTCAGCTCTGAAAACGAGTACAAACTGCTCTTCAGGCATCGCAGTACAGTAGGCGCGACAGACGTTACATCTGTAGAGTGAATGAAGGAATGAGGTCCTCAAGTGAAATGCTGACAGCAAGGGTGGAGGTTATCAGTTCACAGGCAGAACTGATGAACGCCATCATTTTATAGGGAGAGATTTAGAAACACAGTGGCTTGAGGGACTTTTTGGGTGAGGATGGTAGTGAGAAGGGGTCTACATTTGGATGATGCCAAGGAAACAGGCCTGGTTCACAGAACTTAAGATTTTACAATTGTATAGTGTTCTGTGTTCACACCCAAGAATGTGCCTCCAGATGCCACGTGGTTCCAGACCCTCCTACATTCAAATCCAGGCCCTGGTGCTTACAAGCACTGTGACCTTGGGCACATTACTTACACAGGAGTTTGCTCATAGGTAGAGTAAGCAAACTCAGCAAAAAGGACACCAACCAGACAAGGAGGCCTGAAGGACTCAGTGGGAGAATGAATATAAGTGCCCAGCAGGGTGCTAGGTCCCAGTTTGTGTTCAAGTCACCCATGAGAGGAGAGACAGCAAGGCCACTGCAAGGCCAAATGCAGCCAGGCAGGCACCGTGCACTTCCCGGATCTGCTGATAAAGGAGACAGGGCTGGCCTTCTCCTCTTGCCCTGTGAGGGCCACACGGAGCCATCCCAGAAGTAGCTTACCTGGCAAATAGCTCCTGGAGTGTGTCTGGGATTTCAAGGTTAGAATTCCTCAGGGCTGAACTGAACTTCTCTTTAAGCTTCTCCACAAATTCTTTAAACTCGTTGGCACAAACCTTTCAATATGAGAGCATGAGAGGTTAAGCCCTTACTCTTCCTAGAGGGAGGTTTTGCTAAGATGCACCAAGAACAACTTGTCACAAACTCCTGCACCAGTTAGGTCCAAGAACCACTGACCAGGCTGCCTCCCTTGGTCACCTGTCATCTGAGAAGCTTGGTCTCTAAAGGAGGCAACAGACCCTCACCATTACACTCAGGAAACTGGGGTGCCTGGTGCCAACTAACCCACCGACAGCCTCACACCTGCATTGCCGGCACTCTCCCAAGCCCCCAGTGAGAAGACTCAAACATGTCCCGCACGATGCTCCCCTTGCAGCCTCCCTCCTCCCAGGCCTGGTGCTCCCTGTTTCACCCGTGTAGTCAGCCTCCTTCCTCTGCTCCAGCCTCACACTCCACTGGTGGCCCCCAAATGAATTCCCTCCTCTATATGCGCACTGCAGTCATCTCAGTCCAGACCCAGATCTGAGGAGCAAGCTGGACATGTCACCTGGGGTACAAAGCGACAGGGTATGCTCTCACTCCTCCCTGGCCTGGTGGCTGTGCAGGACACGGCTCCTGCTGCGTCTGGCTGCTGTCCTGATGCTGCACCCACCAGCCCACGCTCCTTCTCCCCTCACTGTCGCTGCCCCAGCTGCCGTTGTTTCCAGTCTCGCCCAGTGCTGACACCTTTGCCAAGCCCGCTGGCAGACACCAGGAGTCTGTGGGTCACCTATTCCATTCTTCCCCACGCTTTCTGATTAGCCAGCCTCAACTGGCTGTGGGGAGGGGGGATGCCCAGCCTCCTCGGATATACCAGGACAGTCTAAGCCACTCATGGCAGCCTGGGTCCCCTGTGCTGTGTCCCACTGTTGCCCAGCCACGTGGCCCAGGTCTGCCGGGGCTCCTGGGAAAAGCTGCCTGCTGATATAAGGGCCACGTGGGTCTATTGCAGCCCCTCTTCCTGCTCTGGGATTCTGTTGTGAGGACCTGAACTCTCATAGTCAACACTTGCAACCAGGATGTGACTGGCACAGGATGGAAAGCTGACCGCTGCTGGAGGGGACTGTGGCGGCATGCGCCTGGGAGTCTGATGACAGCTCTGCTCCCCTGCACCAGCCCAGGACTGCCTTCCCTCAGCTGCTAGGCGTTTGGGGAAAAAAAAAAGCATATACTCCTATTAGGTCAGGTTTTTCTGTCACTTCCATCCAAAAGCATTGCTGAGCCTCCTCTCCCAACCTCTGCGGGCCTGTACCTTCCTCTTCCAGGAGCTGACTGCACTGGCCTGCAATGGCCATGGACGTCTCTGTCTGTCCCACTCGCCTGTGGCTTCCTTAGGGAAAGGGCTGCCTCTCCTTGTCCACTGGCCTTGCCTGGCACAAGTCCTACCACACATGCTGTAGAGTCCAGGGTGTGCACAAAAACCAGAGGTGAGCAGCCTCTGGGCTAAAGGGCAGGAGTCTGGTCAGCAGACGGCTTCCTTCCTTGTCAGCCACTGCCCTGGCCTATCTGGACAGAAAATTCAGAAAGAAAACACACACCCTGTCTGCAAACTTTCTAGGAAGCCTGTAATTTCTGAAGAGATGTTCTATTTTCTTAACAAAACAGGCCCAAGGCACAACAGCCCTTCAAAGTGGCATGTCAGATTCTAATCATCTTTAAAAATGGGTGCTTGAAGCTAGATCGAGTGAAGTCCAAAGTCAGAGAGCTGACTAGGCGATTTCCCAAGTAAGAAGGAAAAAAGAATCCACGTTTCTAAGGCTGGCAGGGGCCCTGTGGGACGAGAGGAGGTGACTAAAGCCTAGATGCCCCCATCTCCCAAGCAGGCTGAACCCTACACCCACATGGGGCCTACCTTTGGATCTTCATAGTCACCTCTTCGATTCATGAAATCTCCAACGAGCGCTTTATCCTGATACACCTCGGCCAGGCACACCCTGCAGGAAGAGGGGACAAAGCTGGAGTCTGGAGCTGCAAGGATGCCCGCATTCGGAATCATGAGAGTTCCATTCCCACGTTTCTGGCCTTGGCTGACTGTGAAGCGTGAGTTACTCATATGCCTGTTGCACGACTGCAGCTTTTACAAGTGAAGGATCTGGGGTCAGCCAAGCCTGACCACAGTCAGGTCTGTCTGCACTTCACACTTGCCTTCTCTGAACTTCCGTCCTCCATGGGTAACTGAGAACACTGAGTCCCACCTGCCGCTCGCAGGATTTTGGCCAGGACCATATGGGCTGATCCACGTGAAAGTGTATCATACATTTAAAAACATCAAACAGGCTTTGGAGTTTATTATTCTTAAGCTCTCTCATCTACTGCAAAGCAGGAGGTGTGTCCACTCACATCTCCATGGTGGAAGGACAGCCTGACTTGCCCAAAAGAAAATGAAGGGGAAGGTGACCAGCATTTGCTGGGCTCCTGCCCGCCAAGCACGGCTGCCTTCCTAAAGAGCTTGCCAGGTAGAGACTCATTTGATTTACAGCCTGGTAAGGTAAGGGTACTCCTTGAGGTCACACACACAAGGACAGGACGGGAGGACAGATATGGCTATTATCGGTACTCTCAGCCTGGTCAGAGGTGAGGAGTGCCTCCGTGTGGATAAACCCTGTCCTAGGTCCCACAGCACTGGAACTGGCAGTGGGGACTGCCCCTTGGCCTGCTCACTCCAGAGCCCCTCCTGTTCCACTTTTCAGTAGGAACATTCAGCAGCTGGAAAGCCTAAGTTGCAGACCACACTTCACTGCCAACTCAGTCATCCCGGACAGCTCACATCCTCTCTCTGGGCCTGTTTCTATTTCTGATATAGGAGTTTGGACCGGGCGATCAGAGCCCTTTCAGATGGAAAGTCTAAGATTCTATGCATAGGGGAAAGTGGTATCACCCCTCCATAACCAATTCAGTGGCTCTCAACTGGGACGATTTTCCCCGTAGGGGCATCGGAGACACTTTTGGTTGTCACGATGGCAAGGGGAGGTGTCACTGGCCTCTAGTGGATAGAGACCAAGGATGCTGTTAGCATCCTACAATGTACAGGCCAGCCCCTACAAAAACATGAAATCATCCACAGCATCACAGAGTGCTGAGAAGCTCTGTCTAGAGGCGAGTTTCCTCTGCAGTCCAGGTAGCCTGTGGCCTGGCATCAACTTGCAGCCGAGCCCTCTGGCTGACTTGTGGCATGAACCACCAGCTGGTGGAGGCGGCTCTTCTCAATGCTGTCAGGCCTCCCTCCGGCCCCACCCACTCTCACGCTGGCTGCAACACTTGGGCTCCTCCCTGCAACACTCGGAGGCTTTCTGGTCCTCCCTACTCAAGCCTTCCTGTGAAAGGAGTTGCAGGAGGAATCTGGTGGGACTGACAGTGGCTTTACAGCCTTGGCTCTGAGAACAGATGGTGGGGCAGTCTCATTGGCAACAGACAAACCATGGGTGGCTGCTTTGTGGCTCCCAGGCAACTGCCATCCCCACACATCTCATGGCTGGAGATGCTTAGGGAACACCCAGCTCTCATTCAGCTCTGCTAACAACATGGCAGAGGGCATCCTGTCCAATAAGCCCAGGGCCTGCCTAGCTTGCTGCTGGAGGGAGCCACCAATCAGAGCTCTCAGGAGCTGCTCTGCGGGCCGACAACAGCAGGAAAAGCCAGCTTCTGCCTCCACCACCTGCTAGGCACGTGGTATTCAGCGAGTCAGCCTATCTAGTCTCTGTTTCTTCATCCAAAAAAGGGTTAACAGCACTTACTTCTCGAGGCCGCTCTAAGGTCCAAACAACACCCTGCACGGGAAAGAACCCACAATGACGCCTGGCCCTCAAAAACTCAAGGTCCATCACCCCACCAGACTCCAACACTTGGACAGCCCATCAGACACCTTGGTGCGCTCCAGCTGTGCTTCCTGCCAGACTCTTAAGCAAATGGGATGAAGGGAGAGTAAAGAATGAACTAGAAGTGTTGAGGTAACCATGTCCCAGAAAGATCGGGCTTCATTGAGGCTTACTTGTAGTTCAGGTAGGCCTGTGGGTTTTTGACTATGTAGCGAGCTCTTCGTCCGACGGAATGAGATGTTTTATCCAAAGACTCTTCAAACGTGGCATGCAAAATGTCCCGTACCACCTGCCAGGTGACAAATGGGCCCTTCACCTGGATCAAATGCAGAGTCAAAAAAAAGTCAGTATCCTCAGAGCCCACATCATGGGGCATTACAGTAAAAAAGTAGAAAAAATGTGTTTTGTGCAGCCTTCTTCCTCAGAGAATCCCCACAACTGTCACCTCACAGTGACATTTACTGAGCCCACCATGTGGCGGACACAGGGAGATTCTGGCCTCAGTGTACTCTGGCAGGAAAGAGTATATTCTGTCAAGTGCCATGTGTGACAGAGGTGCCCAGAGGGGCGGGGGATCTGCCTGGAAGGGCGCTGGATTGGGGCACATCATGGGATGTAAAGTGTGTTTAGTTAGAGGTCTTAGTGTCCTAACTACACATCCTGTGTGCTCAGAAACGTTCTGTATGTTGTGCTGGTATGTTACGCTACTAGAAACAGAACGTACAAAATTAGCAGACCCAGGAGAACGTCTCGGTCAGTAACACAGGAAGGCAAGGCTGGCATTAGGAAGCAGCTTGATGACAAGATTATTTTCTCACATCCCCAAGAACAAGGTGACCCAGGAAGACTGTAAGCTCTGGTGAGTGGCGTGGAGAGTTCACCAACACTGACCTATGCAGGACCTCCTGCCTCTGCCAGCTGTACCAGGGCTGCAGCAGAGGAAGGGAAACCTCCCCTATCAGCTCTGCAATGACAAAGCCGCTGCAGATGCAGGGAACAAAAATAAGGGATGGCAACACGTCACCTTTCAGGTTCTTCCTTGGAAAAGAGGTTGGGTTGGAATTCAGGAGAGGACTGAGGGATGAGAGAACAGGGGACAGGCGGTCAAGACAAGGGACCTACTAGTTTGCAGGCAAGGAGCACCCGGGCACAGGGCCCCAGCTGGGTTTCTCCTGCCTGGCCTGGCTGAGACCTGGCACTACTGCCTGGAAGGGGCCCTGGACTGGACTAGCAGAGCTCTTTCTCCTGGAAGGCAAATAAGAGGTCTCTCTGCCCTGAGGACCAGCCACACCAGTGGGCCAAGAGGTACCAGAAGTGACAGAAACAGCATGAGAAGTATCCATCAAGAACAGAGAACAGGGTAATTACATCCAATTGCCAGATCATTCCAGAGGTGATGGGCAGTTACAGGAAGCTTTTCTGGCAATGAAGGTCGGAGGGATGGAGCAGGACAAGGTTAGACTCCTGGTGAGGAGAGAGAAAGAACAGCTCTGAACTAGTTTGTCTGTAACTAGGCAAACATTTATATGTATCCGACTGAAGGCTAAAAAGAAATGTACAAAAACAGACTGGTATTAATTTGTAGGATTAGCTGTGCACGGCAGGGTGCGCCTGTAGTCCCAGGACTATGAGAGGCTGAGGTGGGAGGGCCACTTGAGGCCAGGAGGTCGAGGATGCAGTGAGCTGTGATCGTGCCACTGCACTCCAGGCTGGGTGAAAGAGAGAGGCTCCATCTCTCTAAAAAAGAAAATGTGTAGGATTCTGGGCAATCCTTTTCCCAGTGGCCAAGTGGAGCAGTGGAGAGGAGTGGTCCCTGGCTGGGAGTCCCCGGGAGGCTCAGACAGGAAGGAGCTCCCAGCGAGAGCCAGGCCCGCTGCTGGGCTGGACTGGTTGGTACCTTGGTGTTGAGGACGTTGCTGGCGATGCGGCAGAGCACGAGCAGCCCGTCCTCCTGCATGGACCAGGTGACACGTAGCCGCGTCATGCGCTGCAGGGCGCTCTGGTCGGCTTCATCGTGGTAGCGCAGCCTTTTGCTTTTTTCTCCTGGGAACTCTCCTAAAAATACCAGAGGGAAAAGGGAGGAGGTCTCTAACACCTGGTTTGGAGCTGTCAATCTGCAGAGGGTCAAGGTCCCTACCCAGCCAGTGAGATGTGACCAATGGTATTGGTTATCAGATACCCACTGTGTCTAAAGTCACATAAACTCAGCACATAAAGCCACAAAAGGCTCAGCCCCTTCTTTCATCATTTCTCTTGGTCAAATTTCACAGCAACAGGCTGGAAGGCCTCAATGCAGCCTCTAGTTGGTTATCTGTCAATCTCCAATCTCCCCCACTGTGACTGAGTCCTTTGAAGGCATCTTGTACAGAAGCCTACAGCAAATGCCTGGGGTGTATCCACCAAGTGAGCAGGACCATGGTCTGTGCAGTCACTGGGCCCCCACACTTCCTTGCTCCATGACTGCATGGGTGTCGTGTAGACTTGAGTGTATAGTGGGGACAATAAGGACTCTGCTCCAGGGCCATCGAGAGGACCGAAGGAGACTGCATATAAAACATCCAGCGCAGTCATGGCTACTAAATAACAGCAGCAGTGAGATCTGTGTAGTTAATAATGAAACAGCACCACCACCACGACCAAAACTGCAGCCGCTGGCATCAGGGAACATTCACTGTGTGCCCAGCACTGGTCTGTGCTTTTTAAACATATTATTTTATAATTAGACTACTACTTTATAGCAACCCTATGAAATGGATACAATTGTTATCACTGCCTTTTTTTTTTTGCTGAGGAACACAGAGACATACAGTGACTTGCTGAAGTCACACAGCTGAGTCAGCTGAGTCAGCAGCCGAGGTAGGATCTGAACCTTGAAAGCGTAGCCACAGGGTTTCCAAGGTCTCCTGCCTGGGGGAGGTACTGACAGCACTTTCACAGGACAGACACCATATGCCACTGCCAATCTCAAATGACTGTTTAGCAAGTGTCTTCCAAATTAAGGCAGAAGAAAAGTGGGGCAAGGAAATTTGGACTTGAAGCGATACCACACCATATTTTGCTTTGTGATGAAATCGGGTTTTTGAGCCAAATTGGTCTTACACATATCTACGAGAGGCAAAACTGAGTAGGCCATTTCAACTGATGGAATGCTATTTGTTATGAACGCCAGCCAAAGAAACCACTGAAAACAGGTTCCTGTTTAAACATTCTGCCTTTATCTGAAATAGCTACAGCCATCAGTGGCTGCTGTTGAAACTCGCAGACCACTTAGGCAATAGAAAAGTGGTCTAACAACTAGATCTGGTCTCCTTTCCACCCTCTCTGCTATAAATACTGATGGGATGAAGACTTTTAGACTCAATGGCAGTCTAAAAGGCACTGCACAAGGGGTGCGTCAAATCAGAAGGTGCTGTAGGCTTACGTGACTGCCAGCTTTCCTTCAATTTAAAAATGCAACGTGGGCCCAGTGCGGTGGCTCATGCCTATAATCCCAGTAGTTTGGGGAGCTGAGGCAGGTGGATCACTTGAGGTCAGGAGTTTGAGATCAACCCGGCCAACATGGCAAAACACCATCTCTACTAAAAATACAAAACCGGGTGTGGTGGCACATGCCTGTAATCCCAGCTACTCAAGAGGCTGATGTAGAATTTCTTGAGCCCAGGAGGCGGAGGTTGCAGTGAGCCAAGATCACGCCCACTGCACTCCAGCCTGGGCCACAGAGTGAGACTCTAACCCTAAATAAATAAATTAATTAAAATGCAATACGCCTTTGAAACTTTGGCCTGATTAGTATAAACACAGACATTAAAAGGTAAACCCCCCAAAATCAGGATCTTAGCTAGTTGTGATGAGGCTGTTGCTAACATTTTTTTAGCTGAGGTGAAACTAGGCATTTAAACTGAAGGAGTTCCTAAAGTCAGAGGCTTTAAGATAAGATACAAAGGCAGAGAAAGCAGGGGAAGCACATGGGACATTCGAGGCTCTCTTGGTCTGCCAGATGGATGTGGGAATAAAGTGACCATGGCACAGAATCCGCACCACACATCAAGGGAAGGCGGAAACCTGCGTCTTCCCTTGGAAGGCGGGCAGAGCTCGGGCCCTGCTGGAGTGAGGCTGTGGCATGTCTCCCAGCGAAACTTAAAGACAAGGCCCAGTAAGTGTAAATGATCACCACACAACCTTTCTTCCTTCTCTTGATCTTCCTCCCAGGGTCCTTCTTCAGCCGCTTCCGCTTCTGGCTTTTCCCACCCCTCACTCTCCGGTTTCGGTCCAGCGTGGGCTCTCGGTCCACCTCAAACTGCTCTTCCTGGCCGGCATAGAGCTCGGAGCCTACTCTTGCTTCCCCCCAAATATTCAACCTGCTGTTGCCTAGACATAATCACAGGAGACAACCGTTTCAGGATGAGCACTGCAAAGGCCAGGAAGACCAAACTGAACATAGGGTGGTTGTTGAGGCCCTGAGCTGGTTCCATATTTACTTCTGGGGGGAAACTCTCAGCACACATACCTCCGGCACCAAGGGGCAATGGGCGCTTGGACAGAAACGTCTGAAGCCTCACTGTGAGTCCATTCTCTGCGGCAGTACTCTCCTGTGAGACAAGCACGGCACTGGAATGAAGCATGAGCTTCCACGAGTCCCCAGCAGCCCACAGTAATAAATGCACCAAGGTCGCTGAGGGCTGCTGCGTGCCAACAGCCAGGGGCTGGAGTCTCCTGCCACCCACTTTACCACTGCTCAAGCACTCCCTCCTGCAGGGCCTGTGTCACCCAGACCTTCTGATCCTTTTTTAAAAAAGACGTATCTGTCCACATCACAGAGTAAGTTAGAATCCACTGGGAAAAAAACAGGCCAGGCACACATTTAAGGGGCCTGACCCACCTTCAACACAAACAGAAGCCAGCATTTGTGTCTCTGGTCAGGCAGGGAGGGGCAGGAGGGCGAGTGGTGAAGACCCTTGAGATGATGGTCTGCTGTGACGCACACCCACCTTTTTGGCCTGGTTGATGATGTAGCTGGTCCAGATCCAGTTGCGCTTAAGGTGTCCATAGAAACTGGAATCAAGCCCTGCAGCACCCAGCCCATCTCCGGGGATCAAGCCTTCATCCACCACCTCACGGCTTCCACTAAAATGCAGGAAATCAACAGGAAGAGGGCTTCTTGTTATCACCAAAAAGAGAGCCCATGGCGTGGGGTGGCGGACATTTATTTATAGCCAACTTTCACCTTTCCAGAAAAACACCCCACAGGTAGCAATGAAGAATCTAAGGGCCCTAAGTGTTGACTGGTTTTCGCTTTTGGAAGATAAAGTCACAAATCCAGATTTTTATGTAAAATTCCCAAAATAAATTTTGACAACTGATTACATTTTTAAAAACAAGATGTGGGGTAAATAATGTATGTCTGGAGCCAGCCGTCTGCAGCCTCTGTACTGGAGACCCAGGCCATCTGGCCTGACGTCCTAAGCCAAACAAGGGTGGGCAGACATGTGAAATAAGCATCACTGCAGCCCTGTCCTGGCCGCCGCGCTTGGGATGGACACGCACGTGGTGTACTCCAGCATGGCGCACTTGCGCTCCAGGTTGTGCTTGTCCATGGCGCTCTCCTGCTCCTTCTGCAGGCTGCCTTCCTCATCGCTGCCCTGGTCTGTGCTGCTGTTCTTCCTGATGCGCGGGCAGCGCACCACCCCTGGAAAATCAAACATCAGGGTGACCGATCACGCCTTCCTGCTGCGGCTCTGGTGGCTACCGCCTGTGGCTGAGTGGGGAAGTAGAGTGGATTCCTCGCCTGTGAAAAGGTTCCCTGGCCACTTGTGGGATCTGAGATTTCTAAGACCTCTTTGTACAAAATGTCCATACAAGGAAGTCAGAGGGAACAGAGGAAAAGAGTTGGAGTGCTGGTGGGTGACCTGAGGAAAGGGTCTACGCCAGGCTGAACTCGCTAAAGACAGAGGGCAGGCAGGCAGTCGAGAGCCTGGCAGGCTCGGGGAGTCCAGCGCAGGTGAAACCCAGGCCTTCCTGCCTCCCGGAAAGCCCCTGGGAGCTGCTGGGGCCAGGGTGGCAGAAACGACTGTCCTTGCTGGTGGTGGCAGGGACAGGGAGGGGCCTGCACAGATTGCTGAGATGCACTGCAGCGGGCCTGGGCCCCACCCAGTTCCAGGAGCAGCCAGATGTCTCCTAAGTGCTCAAGAGGTTTGCCAATGGAATTGAGAAATGATAGCCAGTTATTCTATAATATAGAAAATTACATTTCTTGCAAAAAAAATACAAAATACAACTAAAAGCACTGCTTGAGTAGGTGAGGGAAGGTTTTCAGACTCTCAAAGACTCTCTCCTGGTATGCTCGGAGACCTTGGCTTGATGGCATGGCTGGTGCGGACTGCGGCAGTGGGAGCTCAAACCCTGCACCGGCAGCTGGAACTTTAAATGAGACGCCTTGCTCAACTTCACCTTGGCCTGTATGGTGGTGGCAGTGGAGTCAGTGGAGTTCTCAGCTTAGGAATAAACCAAGAATCAAAGAGGTTATGAATAGCTTGCCCAAGGTCACCCATTTGAATGGACAGTACTCAAGGCAACGCTTCTCTCACATAAGTAACAATGGCACCACAAGTCTGCTTATGAAAAACGCAGACTCGCTGAATAGGGCCCGGTAATCAGGATTTAATATGCTCCTTGGGTGATTCTTACTCAGTTCGTGCAGCACCTGCTCTAACAGATGATTGCATCTCATTATATGATGCTTTTTCCCTCCTCCTTGGGGCAGAACCTCTTCACGTTTACTGAATGAAGGGACAATCAACGCCTGATTAATGGGCTCAGTAAGCCTCTGCCATTTCTGCTCATGAACACCTAAAGGGATGGAAATTCACCAATTGTCAGGCCTGAAAAACTTTGGTGCAAATTCATGCTGGTTCACAAATTTTTATCTAGATATAAAATGCAGGGGAATTAGGGCATTATTAAAATCTAAATTGGCAAGCCTAGCTCACTGCTGAATGCCAGAGGTTTCCATGAAACACATCGTTCTATAAAATATGTCTGAACCCATGAAAGATTTTTAGATACAAGTGCTCATTACCCTTGGCATTAAACAATTATGCCAAGTAAAATGTGCGACTCCTGCTTCGCGAAAATCAAAGTGTGCTATTGGATCTTTCAGCTTCAAGAAGGGAGGAGCGGAATGGAAGTCCTCTTGCAGGTGCAAGTTGAACGTAGCTTTCTTTCCCCCCTGGTAGAGGTGGCAGGAAAAGGCCAGGTGGAGAGAGGCCTGCAGGAAGAGCGCTGCAGGGGAGGCTCTCTTGCCTTCTGCAGACCCTCCACACATTCAATCCACATTTGCAGGACGACTGTGCACCCGGCACTTTGCAACACATCCTGGGGATGGAAGCCAGCTTTTCTGGGCACAAGGAACTCACGGACGAAATGCAATGATGCTAGCAAAGCTGTGGACAGGCTTTCGCCAAGAGGTGATGCCTGAAGTAGGAGTGAGCATCTGAGAAGCGAGTATGACAGGGAGGGCCCTCCTAGGGAGGGAGAGTGATGTGGGCAGAGGCTCCTGCAAAGCCCAACTCAATCAAGTCACCAGCATGTCCGGTCAGTTCCCTCCAAAACACCTCCAGGCCTGCCCTGCCCTCCTCACTGTCACTAGTGGATGCCACTCTCTCCCCTCACCCACATGGCTTCCTCTCTTTCTCCAACGTACCACTCAGGGCCTCAGCCTGTGACACTGCCTCTGCATGGGACGCCCACCCCAGCTCTGGCCCTGGCTGGCTCTGCCTCACCCTATAGGATTCAGGTCCAATGTCTCTTCCTCAGCAAGACTGCTCCCGAGCCCTAGAATAACCACCACCCTGCCTGCCACCACGGCCCTTATCGCACTCCCCTGAGCTATGTCTCCTCTGCACTAGATGGCGAGTCTCACGAAGGCAGGGCAGGGTATGTTCCCACTGCGGCACAATCAGGCACAGGAAGTGACACATAGGTGGTGTTTAATAAATACCTACTCAACAAACAAATGAACTTTGTCTTAAGTGTGGCTATTTGGGCTCAACTGGGTGGGGAGCTGGGAGCACCCCACCCACTCAAGGCCCACCACTCTCCTTTATCAGGGAGCCCCAGGGGTGCTCTGGTCCTCTGGGGAGCACTTGAAACACATCACTGGTCGGGGCGACTCCTAGGTTTTCTATCCCTAAATCCCAGCTGCCAACCAGAAAGAAGCAAAACCAGCCAGGTCCAGCCAAGACAGCTGACACCCACCTAGTGGGGTGTTGAGGCAGACACATTGCAGGTCAAACCAGTAGTTTTCCACATCCTGCATCGAGTTCAGGACATAGAGGCGCCTCTCGAAGGGCCGGCTGCTGCGGGCCAGGTTGTAATGTGGGTCACAGATGGTGGTGTCAACAATGACTGCATTCTTCTTCAAGAAGACAAAGACCTAATGGGAGACACCAGACAGGGAGAGCCCACATCGGGTTTGGCTGCTTGGAGACCATTTAACCATCAGGATCACCTTCGTTTGGGCTTGAGAGACATTACCTGATCCTTATCCTGAAACTTTTCCGTGGGACCAAACTGTAGCAGCCCCATGTAACACAGCCTCTGAAGGTTCTCCATCACTGAAAAAATGTAGCGCCTGGAAAACAGAGGGGGCAGGATCTTCCCATCACACCACACTTGTAGCAGGCCGCAGGGGTCTGCATGTGGCAGGAGGGGTGCGACTTTCTTCTTCCCTTTTCTACCTGGTGGTAACTGGAGGACCAGCCTCAAGCCCACACTGTACTGAGGCCCAGAACCACCCATCCTAACACCCAACCAGGGCCATGGAGATCGACCCGACACCGGGGATTTGATTTGGAAAGTAAAAGTAATGAAAGGGGAAAAAAATTTCCCATACTTGCAGCCATTAGCAGCAGATTTTACTTTAAAAGAACCTTCAAATCAAGTAACAAAATGTAGCAGCCCATACTTCATTAATAAGTTAATAGAAATCTTGAGATTTTGCAGGCTGGAAGTTAAAAACCGTTTCCTCTCCTGATAAATGACGGCTCAGAGCCCTGATGTAAAGGTTTACTTGGACCTGCAGCCACTCTGGGTCAGGCCTCACCTCTTATACAGAAGCTGCTGCCGGATGGGCCTGGGGAGAAAGCGGATCAGCGTGTGCTTCTTCAGTGGGTGGTTCAGAAATTCCTCCAGGTTGTCCACCTGAAGAGGTGATGTGCAGGTTCAGCTCACCCTGAGGGGCAGGGTGAGCTGAAAGAATCTTGGAAAAAGTGCTTGCCACTATTTTCTGCCCACGGTCTCCCTGAACCTGCCTACTGGCTCTCCTTCCTGCCCTACCCAGTGCCCCTGCATCTCTGCCTTTGGTTTCATCACCCTTCCCTTCCAGCCCATTTTCCACACTGCTGGGGGCAATAAACAGATGTCCTCATACCCTGCTGTGGGCACAGACAGTGCTAAGTTTTTCCCTGGGGCAACATAAGAATATACACATTTATATGAAACCAGAAAAGATGAGATGGAGAACACACATTCCTTTTGCAGCCAGTGATTCTGCTCCTGTTCTTACCCAAAGGAAAAAATGCTGGAGCTGCCACATCTATGTCTACCAAAAGGTATTCATCAGCATGTCATTTATAATAGCAAGAAAGTGCAATTTAAATGTCCAAAAATAGAAAATATTATGGTTAAATAAATTAGAGGCATAAGAACGAATACTATGAATCTACTTAATATCAAGTCTAAAAAGTTAATGATGCAAAAAATAGGAAACACTGTTCAGTCAAAAGCACAGACAATAAAAGAGTGAATATAGTTTCAATTCATTTTTTTTTTTAAAGGGAGATATCACACACACACACACACACACACACACACACACACACACACACACACAGCACAGCCATAAAGGACTACAAAAACCTTACCAAGAAGATAATTACTTAGCAGTAGTTATCTGAGTGATACAGCTATGGGTAATTTCTATTTTATCTTTTTCTATTTACCAAATTTCTAACAACATGTTTTATTGTTGTAATGTATTTATTTGTCTATCTTGCTATCTACCTACCATAATAGATCTATTTAGAAGAGCAAGTCTTTGAAGTATTCACCCCTGATCAACCACCCACCTATCTACCCAATCATTTTTAATCTATCTCGAACAAATCCTTAAAATATTGAAATATTTTCCCTTGACTGAGCATCTGTCCATCCACCCATCCATCCATCCACCTGGGCAACCCTGGGTCTTCAAGTATCCTCCCTTGCCCAGGTGAGTGTAGGCCCTCCAGGCCAGAGCTGAGGGGCCAGTCCTGAGATGGTTCCAGTCACCAGTACCTTGTAGCTGACTTGCACAATCTGGACGAAGATGGAGAGGGGAAGGCAGAGGAGGATGTCACTGACGAGAGCCCAGCCAAAGCCAAACTCCCTGTGGACTGGGATGGGAGGGATGTAGCGCATCCACGAGGCGTCGTCCACATACACTAGGAAAAAACTCATGGTTACACACGCAACCAGGATCCCAGGCACCATGGTGACATCATCTCCCGGGAGGTGTTGGTGCCCTCACCCCCAACTTGAGAAAAACTCTACTTGTCAGGCAGGAAGGAAGCCGAGGAAGAAAGCCTGCAGGTTCAGACGTGTGTATTATGTTTCCATTTGGATCAGAGGAGGCAGCCAGTTTACATAAGGATAAGGAACCATCGTGATTCTCCCTGGATCTACTGGGCCTGCCTGTCCCAGGTGCAGGAGTGGCAGGGGCCTCTCACCTGTCTCTGTGGCCAGCTCCACTTCAGCCTCCCAGGTGACGCTATCTTGGCTGTCTTTGGATGGGGCTTCCGAGCAGGCCTCCCAGGCACTTCCAGAGGAGGATGGCCGGACACATGCCCTGCCTGGCTCCTGCTTTATCTTTCTCCTTTCACTGATGAAGCTTGGCTTCTCCATGCTGTCACTGGCAGGGTGCCCATAGATGAGATACCACAGAAACATGTGGACCACTCGCAGGCGAGGCATTTTGGGCAGAAACCCTAGAGAACGCCCCAGTCCAGGAACTGAAGCAAGAAAGGGAGAGAGCAGTGCTTGAAGAATCACATACTGAATTCAGTTGAATTCATTAAAAAATTACTGAGTGCCACTATGTGCCAGGGAGCAGAAAGATGGCAAATATCCTTATTCTCTTAGAGCTTACTTTCTAGTGGGCAAGGACAGATGATGATAAAATAGAATACCTAAAATAGCCCACCAGCAGAAAATAAAGCCCGGATGGGAGGAGGGCTGCAATTCTACAAACAGAGGCCGGGATAGGCCTCACTGGGGACCCTTGAGTGAACATGCCTACAGGGCAAACGCAAAGGGCCTGAGGTTTGGGTGTGCCAGGCACATTCTAGGAAGGGTCGTGAAGGTGCAGGGGCAGGAGGTGGAGTGGCGAGCAGCAAGGAGGGTGGGAAGGTTTGGCTGGCCCCTCCACATCTCATGTTGGCACGTAATCCTCAGTGCTGGTGGTGGGGCCAGGTGGGAGCCATCTGAGTTACGGGGTCATCCCTCATGGCAAGGTGCCGGTGCTCGTGAGATCTGGCTGTTTAAAGTTGGGTGGCACCTCCCCCAACTCTCTCTTGCTCCTGCTTTCACCATGTGATGTGTCTGCTCCCCCTTCACCTTCTGTCATGGCTGGAAGCTTCCTGAGGCCTCAGTAGAAGCCAAGCCATGCTTCCTATATAGCCTGCAGAACTGTCAGCCAATTAAACCTCTTTTCTTTACAAATGGCCCAGCCTCAGGTATTCCTTTATAGCAGCATAAGAATGGCCTAACAGAGGGCCTGAGAAACTACTGGGTAAGGATTTCTGGCTTGATGAGAACTGCGCCAAATACTCCACAATCTCAGTTCTTTTAAAGCGGCTTATTTCTTTGCTGATGCAAATGCACTGTTCCTTGGTTTTCCCCAGTGAGAGATGACGGCTGTGAGAGCATGCAGGACAGTCAGAAGCCCCACCGGAGGATCACCGGCGCTGCCCCTGGTCCATTCAAGTGCAAATACCGTCCAGCTGCACACACTCACGCCGCTGTTCCTCCTTCACCTGTGCTTTCTAACAGGGAAACGTGGAGAGTAAAGGCCAGGCTGTGGGGCTGCAGCCCTTGGAAACGGAAGTCACACAGCCTCTTCCACTTGGAATCCCTGGGTCTGCTGTGTCCTGGACCTGATGCTGCCTGACAGACAGCCGGGCCCCGGTGAGGCAAGTTTGCCCTTCTTCCTGCACCAGCACGCGTGCCGTGGCCTGGAGAGGGGCCGAGCATCGTGACTATAAAGCCATGGCCACCAGCCTTGCTCAGCACAAGTTTAGAAATGAGAGAAGAGGGAACCTGTCAGCACTCCAACTCTGAGGAAATTATAGGAACACCAGACTCATCAATGACTGTGCTGTGGGGGATTTGTGGAGTCAGGACAAGGAGAAATTTTCTGTACTTTATAAAATGCTCCAGCTCAAGAACATTCAGAAGAAGAAATTAATCTTTCCTCACACTGGGATCTAGCAGGATTCCGTCTGAGTCTCTCAGAAGCCTTGTAAGGTATGGCAGACAGAACTGTCCCCATTTTGCAGATAGGGAGAGAGATGCTGGAAGAAGTTATACAGCCAGAGTAACAGGATCCAGCCCACAGCTCAGACCCCATTCTTCTGACTGCAGCTCACAGCTTGAATGGAGAGACCCAATGCCTTAAACATCCTCATGCAAACAACAAATGAAATGTAACTAAACCCAGACAAGAAGCTGCTGCTTACCTACAACGGGATGATAATTTCTAAGCTGGGTTATGCCCATTTTCTTATCACTTTTTTTCATCCGTCCACTTTCTGACTTAGAGGAAGCACTCAGCTGAGAGTCTCCTGATCCACTAGGGCCTTCTTTTCCTTGACTGTCTTCTTCTGCCTCCCCTTGGGGCACTGGAGGCTGGGAAGTTTTAACCCTGCAGTCCAAATAAACATGCAATAATATATTGAGAAAATCAAGGCTAAGAGAAAGGACAGTGTCTGGCTGTATGAATGGGATGCAGGCCTGTAGGTTTCAAATCCTGCTCCCCACAGGGGCCAGGGAGATGGTGCAAACAAAATGTCAGATCACTGAAACATTTGGGGGTGGTGGGGATTGTGGGACCCTGGAGAGGGCACCCCCACTTATGGGTGCTGCCTTGTGAGACATGGAACCCAATGCGCTATATCTTTTGACATGTCCATCAATGCCAGAAGTGAGGAATTATATGAGAAATTAACCAGCAACTGATTCAAAGTATATGTGGCCAATACTTGGCAGACCTCACAAAGCAGTATGTGCAAGCCAGATCAGCCCTCTCCCTGCCTGTGGGAGTCTCTAGTTGAGACACAGCTGACAACTTTCTCCCTCCCCTGAGTGTTCTCTCAGTTCATTACATGGTTTATGAACGAAGTTAGAGAAGATCTGAGAAAGTCAACCAGAATCACTGTGAGCCATTGTGAGACTGAGTGAGTTTCAGACGGCAGAGGCCTATGACAGGGAGTGCTTTGTCCACACTCTATCAGACAGAATAAAGACCACTTTTTCTTTTCCCCTAAAGAGTCCTGAAATTGGTCCTTATTTAGAGTAGGAGATCATGAACCATGAACTCTAAACCAACAAATTCACTGATCCCATGCAGGTATGAAGAAAGGGCTCTTGTGGACTTGCTGGCACACAGGCCTGGCATCCTTGCTCTGATTCCTCCCGGGCACCACCACTTGCCTGTTGGCTGTGCTGGAATTGGAGATCCGGAAGCGGACCTGCTCGATGGCACTTCGCACCAGAGGGTCGTTCTGGTCCATGGATGGGTGCACCACCAGATCCACCTACAGAGACGTTGGAGCATCCCACAGGTGAGGAAAGAGCTGAGGCAGACTTGGCTCCACAAGTCTATTTATTCCTAGTGGAACCCCAGTCATACCTGTTTTTCATTAACATTTCTAAAACACAATTAGGAGATCGAAGCAAAATGTGTTGCTGAACAGTTTGCCAGTAAAGCTACTGGTGGAGAAATCCCTCAAGTGACCAAGCGATCAGGTTCTGCCATCGGTGCCAGGGGTGCTCGGCCCCACTAAGCAATCTGGCCTGGACACAGAGCCACCCCCCTGCAAGTCCCTCACTGGGCTGTCACAGCCCACTGGTCTGTGCTGCTACCTGGCGGGCTGCTCGGTGCCCCGCTCCCACTGTCTGAGAATTTCCCCGTCGCTCATGAGTCCTGAGGGCTTCCATCTGGAAAAGGTAAGTGGCTTTCATTAATCTACCCTTGCTGAGAGTGCCGTCATGGGACTCCTGCCAGGCGCCCGTCCAAACAAACCGGCAGAGGATTTAGAGCCGCTTTTGTTGTTTTACCTTTTCCGAGCTACTGAAGCTGAACAGTGAAGGTGGTTATCATTTCATGAGAGATACACAGGGTGAAAAATAGAAACTGCATGGAAGAGAAGTAACTTGAGCACCCAGCAGGGAGAGGTGGAGTGGGGCAGGGTGTGTGTGAGCGCGTCAGCGTGGCAGCTGAGGCCCGGCCGGGCCCCCGGGGAGCCAGACTTCTTGCCTGTCTCTGCTGAGGCAGAGGACAGCAAGGTCAGGCTGTCTGAACGTCCACTCTGGCCAGCAGCTTCATGCTGAACATGGGCTCAGATAGATCTAGAGACGGGGCAGGCAGCAACACCTAGATGAAGGCTCCAGAAGGCTGCACTTGGCTCAGTTTCTCCCCATCCTCATTTATGAAATAAGGACCACCCCGCCCCCACCCCCAACTATCAGCTTTGTGGTTTTGTGAAGCTCAAATGAGATACAGGGTGGCAACATTTCAGACAATTCAAAGGCAAGGGAGAAATACGCAGCATTCACATTGCCCTACTTTCCCCAGCCAAATGGCCCAGCAAACTTCCCAGAGGCCCCACGGGCAGGGCAGGACACAGGAGCAAAGACAAAAGACTGATGCAGGCACACCAGCTCCAGCCCACATGGGCCCAGCAGACCAAAGGCTGCCAGTAGCACATGCTCTGGGTGCCAGAGAAAGTCCTGCTAGAAACCTACGCTGGTACTAGAGTCACATGTGCATAACTGAAGCCCTTTCCAGCCAGAAAAACCAGCTACTGTAGTGGGACCTCAAGGCAAGAGGCCCCCATTCCTGGACACTTTCGTTTTTGAGGTTATCTGCCCTCCCCGCATGCTTACCTGCTGCCCCCATCCCTCACCCACTCCCTCCAGCACTGCCTGGAGACACAGCTGATGCCTATGCCTGACTGCCTCTCCCTAGCCCTAAACTGGAGGGTAGGGGGTTCTTCAGTGACTGCACTCTCTGAAGATCAGCAGAAATTGGAGGCGCTGTAGCTTTTCTTGGCCTTCACTGAGAGGTTAGCATAGGAACCTACTGCCACTGCTCAAGGCACAAGCGACAGGCTGGTGGGGGGTGGGGGGTAGGGGTAGGGGGTGGGGGGTGGGAGGCGGAGGGCGGGGAGCAGAGGCCAGGGACGTTATTGTTTCATTTTTAAAAGGCTTACAGCAGACATAAAAACTGATGAGAGCTCTCAATGTAGGAAGGCTAGACACTGTTTCTTAAGTCATTTTTTGTACTACCCTGCAGTTTTCAAATTTCTCAAAAAATAAAAGTAGAAAAGCAAAAATGACTTTACTAGCTTATTAAGAAAACAAAATACCAAAGCAGAGCTTTCTTAAGGCAGAGATTTACAATGCAGGCATAAGACAAAGTCAGGAAGTTACGAGTGACTGTCCCCACCAACCATTCCTTTTGGCCCTGGTGCCTGGCTGTATCATCACAAATTACTCTGACCCTGAAAAACGTGTGCCTTAGAATGTGTGTGAAGCTGCTGCTGAGCTACAGCTGCTATGGGAATGCCCCCTCCTCAAACTTTACATTGTACAGAATAGATAAATCAAGGTGGAAGAGATGTACTGCTCCCGTCGGATAGCCAGAGCACATCCTGACTTAATGCCATCATTCTTTCTGGGGTGTTTCCTCAGCTCTCCGTGGAAAGTATTCTTGCTGCTTAATCTAAATTTTCCACCTTCTAAATGTTATTTAATTTGTCCCCAAACGACTGAACTTCAAAATGCCTCTACTTGTCTTCTGCTTCTTCAAGGCTGGCTGCAGGGCTGGATGCCTGCACAGTTGCTGCTTGGAGTTGACCTGCTTTACAATCCTAGCAAGTTTTTGCTCTTTTCTGTTTCCAGCTTACCTGTATTCCCTAAATCAGGAGGCATAATAGGAAATTCCAAGTCATTGGTAACAAACCAACTACCAAGATACAGCAACGACAAGAGAAGCTAGGCAAAAACCTCCAACAGCACGAGGCTGGCTCTGGGTATCGGGGGAGCCCCTGGTTACCTTCTTCTTGATGCCATCTTGAATGACGGTGGTCCGATATAGTCGCAAGAGACCTTCCTCAGACAGGTTCCGCACCAAGCGGACAATGGACTTCTTACAGCACTTCGTAGACACCCCTTCCTGCTTCTCCTGATCCATGATCATCTTCTGGATCCTGGGCCCCACAAAATAAGCAGGTAACACTCCCAATCTCAGTGTGGAAGGCCTTCTTCAACCCAGGCAACAGAGACATGCCTCATGGTACCCAACAGAAACAGGGAAGGACCAAAGGGGGTTTCCCCACCACAGAAAGACTGACTTATTGAGACATTAACAATTGTTTCCCTTGGTGGCAAATGTATAAGGACAAGTCACCAAGACAGCAGCTCCACAGCGGAGCCTTTCGCCAGCAACTCAAGAGACTACGATTTGAGAACATGATGGCAGGGAAACTGCACACTGTCTTCACCAAGTTGAATGCTAATTTAACACCCAGATAAGGGCTGTTCTGGTTTAACACTAACCCCTAAGATCTGAAGTGCGCTAGACTTCTCTCTGGATATATCTTCCTCTAGGTCTTACTGAATCACTATGGTGATATTTCTAGAGCACTGATTATAGAATGCAGGGACAGCGGGTGTCGTGTCTCACACCTGTAATCCCAGCACTTTGGGAGGCTGAGCAGGGCGGATCACTTGAGGTTAGGAATTCGAGACCAGCCTGGCCAACACAGTGAAACCCAGTCTCTACTAAAAATACAAAAATTAGCCAGGCGGGTGCTTGTAATCCCAGCTACTCAGGAGACTGAGGAAAGAGAACAGCTTGAGCCCAGGAGGCGGAGGTTGCAATGAGCTGAGATTGTGCCACTACACTCCATCGTGGGCATTATAGTGAGACTCCACCTCAAAAAAAAAAAAAGAATGCAGGGACAGAAGGAACATTGGGAACACCTAGCTAAACCTCTCATGGCTCAGAGGAGGGGAACAAGGTGACAGTGGCTGCAGATGGCCCTCCTCCTCTCTAACAGCTCTAGTTAGAGACGGAGTATGAGGAAGAAGTCTCTGGGCTCAGTCATTCTCTGTCTAGCATGCTGATATGCCTCAATATCTGCTCCTTTGGAAGAACAAGAGTAAACTCTAAATCCTTTCTACCACAAAGGAATGAGATGAGACTCTACACAGTGGGACAGAGATCTGAACACCTCTCAGTGGTTTCTGGGACTTGTGATGACTAATTGGCAGGAGAATTACTGTTAGCACAAGCAGACAGACAGACAGCTCCTTACGTGAATAAACTCTCGATTAAGCGAAGGTTGGTGACGGCTTCTATGATCAGATTCCTGCGTTTCAGCAGTCGGTAAGTTTCGTGGGGTTTGTCTTGGCTTGAGCTGTGCCTCCCAGTCTTCAGGGAACTGCTACTCTCCTAGAACAGAGACCAAAAAAAGCACAAGATGCAGTGAGGCTTGGGGGGGCCACACATCACTCCTGTGGGTGCACTGGCCCTCTTCAAGGAACTTCTACTCCCATCTTTCAAGAAGGGACGCCAAGAAGCCTGTTCTCCTACACAGGATCCCACTACTCTACCATCTCAATGCTTTGAATATCAAAGACATCGGCCAGCAGAGGACCCTGGGCCACTCTATGAAGATCAGCTGGTTTCAGAACACAAATTAGAGGCATCTGCTCCACCAACTCCTGAAAAGTTAGAAGGCATTCCCTTAATTCTCCATTGGTTCTTCTATAGTTAGCTAAGAAACTGACACACTGACAATCATATGCCAGTTACTGTTACTCTTTTTTTCATAAAAAATTCTTAACACTTTTGTCATCATAGTTCCCATTTTACAGAGGAGAAAAACCAGGGCTCTGTGTGGCTAACTTTCCAGGGACTCATGGGAAGTGAACATGCCAGGCCAAAGCTGATATTGACCTTACAGGGCTGAATGAAACAGCAGTGGCCGGGCACAGTGGCTCATGCCTATAATCACAGCACTTTGGGAGGCTGCAGTGGGAGGATCACTTGAACCCAGGAGTTTGAGACCAACCTGGGCAACATGATGAAACCCCCTCTCTACAAAAAAATATAAAAATTAGCTGGGCATGGTGGTGCATGCCTACAGTTCCAGCTACTCAGGAGGCTGAAGCAGGAGGATCACTTGAGCCTCAGGGCAGAGGCTGCAGTGAGCCAAGATCACACCTGTATTCCAGGCTGGGCACCACAGCAAGACTCTGTCTCAAAAAAATTAATTTAAAAAAATTACATAAATGAACAGCAGCAATACCATCAAAAGCCACCCCAGATCATATATCCACTCCATACTAGGTGCCTTGTTCTCTACTCAGTGTTTCCAAAATGGGTGGCACTGGCAGTGTCTGAGGTACTGTTAAGTGACAAGTGTTGACACGGCATTAGGCGAACCAAATCACACAACAGGAAAGGCATTCCTTATCAACTGTCTTTCAATCCTTCCAACAATATTGATGAAAGTATTGGTTTGACTTCGCTTTGTCTTTTTTAACACCTTGATATGTAAGAGTAACTGGCTGGAAGAACTAATACAGTTTTGACTTTATTGTATCTCCTCTATGATTACTTTCTTTTTTATAGCAAATGATATCAGCCTTCTACCTAAAGCAGAGTTTCTCCACCTCACCAGTGCTGACATTTGGGCCGGGAAATTCTCTGCTGTGAGGCGCTGTCCTGTGTATTACAGGTTGTTTAACAGCATTCTGGCTTCTGTTGGATGCCAGCAGCAGCCCCTCCCTAAGTATGGCACTCAGAACTGTCTCCAGTTACTGCCAAATGTCCCCCATGGGTAAAAACCATTGATCTAAATTAGGTATACAAGTTTCCCTCTAAAATATATCTAAGTAAAAAGCGTAAGTTGTTGGAAATTAATAAGCCAGTGGGCAGATAACCAGGCAGACTATCTCTGCGAAGGGCCCAGGCTGCACGAGGGTGGTGTGTAAATGAGCACCGCGCTACTGCTGCGAAGCACAGGCGGGCCCCGGCATGCAGCACTCTCACTGTGGACGATTTCACTGTGATCATGTGATTCCAAAGCACAGAAACGATGAGGTAAGGCACAGGCTCTTACTCGGAGGCAGCTCCCTCCCCTCCCTCCGCATGCACTGACCTTTGGGTTTTCCATGCGGACCTCCTCGATCACAGCTATGTCACCACTGTTACTGTCTGTGCAGTGGGAGACAAAGGACACGTTGGGGTCTGAGACGCTGCTGGTGTCTAAGACGTTGTCCCTGCTGGCAAGGCTCTGGCAGGCTCTCTCTTCAGCAGCTCCCGGGAAGGAGGGCGGCTGCTTTTTCAACGGGTGTAGGTTTAGAACTTTCCACCCACCTGTGGCGGAGGGAAGAGGTAGGACAAATCAAGGGGAAGGCCAAGAGGGGCATTCATGCTTGGGGGTCAGAGTAGACACACGCAGACCAAAGGATTCTGCTGTGAGTCAGCTGAAAGGGACGTGGACCAGCAGCAGCTTGGGCCCCTCCTTCTGGCCCCTCATCTACAGCAGGGTTTCTCCACCTGGCCAGTGTTGAAGTTTGCGCCGGTTAATTCTCTGCTGTAAGAAGCTGTGCTGTGTATTGCAGGATGTTTAACGGCATCCTGGCCTCTATCTATGAAATGCCAGTAGGAGTCTCTCCCTAAGCCAGACATTTAACAATGTCTCCAGATATTGTCAAATGTCCTTGGGGGCTCAGAGCTGGGGACCAGATTTGCAAACGTGTCATCAGCACCACTCTCTATGCATTTTAAAAAAGTTTGCTATAACTAGCCTAAACACTTGGAGGACCCTTAGACTGTTGGAGGGGAGTGGCAGGGAAGTGTATGAAAGTTCATTCTTTAAAAGTAAAAAAAGCAAACAAAACATGTGCCATGAAGAAATGATTTGCAAGCAGCCAGGAGATACCACAGGACCCTCTCCTCCAAACCCATGAAGATGTGGTACAAGTGACAGCATCAGGTCTCTCATCAGGATGGCACCAAGGGCACTGCAGGTGTTTGCTCAACTAAAGGGTGTTTCTTGCAGATGCCCAGCAGTGCAGTGCAAGCAGCCCCTGCCCACCCCACGCATTCCCTACCCTTGGCTGGGGTGGAGTGATGAGGCTGGGTCTTGGGCCGGACGTTCGCAGAGGCTCTTGTGTCCCTCTGGGCCCCTCTGCCTCTCCGCTTGCTGCTGCTCCTCTCCTCCTCGCTGTCCGACTCAGAGAGGAAGGTATCCTCGCCTTCAGGCAGAAGCGACTCCTCCTGCATGGACGCCAGGCTTACGGTGGTCAGGAGCTCGCTCCGGGCCTTCTCTCTTTGGTACTGCCGGCTTAGGTCGCTCTCCTCTGCAAATACGCAGGAAATGTATTTGGTGGTCCGCTGCCGACCTTCATCTTCCATGAATCCCTAGAGGGAATAAGATGTGTTTATCACACTATAAAGAGAGCGTCATACCCACAGGCATTCAGGTGTCTGTGGCGTCTATTTCCTCATTGGCTTTCATCTGTGTCTTCTGTCTTACTGCCTGGGCCCTGGGTCGGGCACCACTGATGCTCCTTCCAGGCTCTTTCTGTCTGTAATCCCCCAGGTCCTGCTGCCATATGGATCCTTCTCTGAAGTACAACTCTGACTGTGTGTCTGCTCTAAGAGGCTATGAGCTTCTCAGGGGCAGGGCCTTCACTTAACCTTCCATACAGCCCCAGTGCCTGGGACAGAACGTGGCCTACAAAAAAAGGTCAGTAAGCAGCAGCGTTTGTGATGCAGACGAAAAAGTTGGACTGGAGAACATGGGCTACACTTAGCCACTGCCATGGGGATTGGTGGCCTGGGCACTGGCGATCCACACCCATTTTATCTTCTAGAACAGGGCAAGGGGCTCTTCCCAGGACCCTTATAGGAGAAAAAGTAAGATCTAGGTGCCACCACATGCCAGGGATGGGGCCAAGTGTGCTGCAGTCATTCACCTAACTATAATTCTGCCTTCCAGCAAGATGACCAAAACATGGGAAAGACGAGAGTGGCATGTGAGGGGCCGAGAAGGCTGGGCTGAGGCAGGTCTGAATTACAAAAGGAGAGTGCTAGACAGGCATAGCTGGTCAACTGGATGTCTGCAGGCGCCAGGTAAGTAACATGCATGAGAAGGAGGGCCAGCTGGGGATGGAGGAACCCTGGAGAGCACTGCTTTGTCTGAAGCAGGCAGACAGAGTGGCCAGCCCCAGCTGACTGTCCCCACACAGGAGTAGGCTCCTGGGCTGGTCACATCATCTTCTGACTTTTTTTTTTCTTTTTCTTTTTGAGACGTAATTTCACTCTTGTTGCCCAGGCTGGAGTGCAGTGGCGTGATCTTGGCTCACTGCAACCTCTGCCTCCTAGGTTCAAGCGATTCTCCTGCCTCAGCCTCCCAAGTAGCTGGGATTACAGGCACCTACCAACACATCCAGCTAATTTTTTGGTTTTTTTGGTAGAGATGGAGTTTCACCATGTTGACCAGGCTGTTCTGGAACTTCTAACCTCAGATGATCCGCCTGTCTTGGCCTCCCAAAGTACTGGAATTACAGGCATGTGCCAGTGCACCAGGCTACTCTGACTTTTCGAAGACAAACAGGAACCACAGTGACAGGGAGACATTAACATGGCTGTGGACTACATTTAGCCCCAGGGAGGCCATTTGCCTCTTTGACACAGATGTCAGGCCATGAGTCCCTGACTCCCCGAGATGCTCCTTCGAAAATACACAGCACACGCCTCTAAAGACAAGAGTGTTGGGGAAGGCTCATGATGTTACCTTGACAACTTTGAATCTTTGAAGAAGCCGGCATAGCATTCTTGCCTCCAGTTTTCCCACATTCATAGCCACTCGGATTTCAGCTTGGGAAATTCCTTTCGTGCCTCTGCGTTCAACTGTGAGAAACAATACACATGAACTGAAACCGCTGCAAAGGAGCTGTTCTGCACAAGTCAGTTTCCAGCCCACTTTTCAACAGGCATTTCAATGCTGTGAAATTACCAAACAGAACAAAACACCATTTCTCTCCCTTATCCTCCCAAGAGTGCTTTCTCTTCTGAGCCTGAGTTAATATACTATACTAGGCTACTAACAGCTAATGTTTTGAATGCTTACTATCTCACAACTCCAAGTTAAAGCACTAAATGTCAGGTGATAACAGCTGAAATACCAAAATGCAGGAAGATCAGTTTTACCCAATAGCAGGAAATTAGCCCTTTGTGTGAATGAACTGTTTCACATAAATGAAATTGATCTCTTTAAGAAGTATGAAAATAATTTTTAATTCAGAACTTTTTAAAATGTGTAGTCTTCATTTCCCAGTTTTTCTCAACAGACACAGAGGCATTGTGGACAGCGACTACCGCACTGTCCCACAAGAGTCCTGCAGTGGGGACTGTGGAAGGAAATGATGCTCCTCAGCCCTAGAGTAAATGCCTCGCGGACCACTGGGCCCCACTATTGCTGTGTGTAGCTTGTCCACTCCTGGGCTGCCACAAGCTGCTATATGTCAGGATTGAGAGTGTATCTGCCGCTCAGAAGCCCTTTAAATGCATCCCACTAAGCTGGGACTAAGAACTCCAGGAAGGAGCCAGCTTGGGAACTGGGAGGTGAGCAGGGAGTCCCAGAAGTAAAGCACACGAACTGCAGGTAGACTTGGTGGCAAAGCTCTTTGACTTTTCAGAAGTTATCTTCCTCTTTATTTCCTGATGCATCCGCAAGCTTCAGGCTGCCTGGTAACAACAGTCTGCATAAAGAAGGTTTTGCTATGTTGTACATGTATAAAAATAAGCAGCAGAATGAACAGAGATGACTAGAATGTATTCCAATACTGATCTGGCAACATGCTAAAAAGTAGGGATGAAAGGGCTAGCTGGACAGGGTGGCTCACGCCTGTAATCCCAGCACTTTGGGAGGCCGAGGCAGGTGGATCACCTGAGGTTAGGAGTTCGAGACCAGCCTGACCAACATGGTGAAACCTCGTCTCTACTAAAGAAATGCAAAATTAGCCAGGCATGGTGGCACATGCCTGTGATCCTAGCTACTCAGGAGGCTAAGGCAGGAGAATCGTTTGAACTTGGGAGGCTGAGGTTGCAGTGAGCTGAGATGGTGCCATTGCACTCCAGCCTGGGCAGCAAGAGCGAAACTCTGTCTTCAAAAAAAAAAAAAAAAAAAAAAAAAGGGTGGGGGTTAAGGGCAGCTTTTTCCCAACTGCGTTATGTGGAACCCATTCTGAGAAATGTGAAGGCGACTAACTAACAGCCACAACTCAATCAGATCCCCCATGGCCACGTCACTTTCTGCTCTGTCCTCCTCCCTGCAGGGACCTGAGGCCACACCACCTACGACACTAGGTCACTGCTGTCCTACACAGATGTTAGGGGATCTCAGGGAAAGGTTAGGAACGGGAGAGAGTTTTCTTTCCCTGTTCATCATAGATTCTCGGCCTGTGGTAACTCCAGACCAAACTTAGAAAATGACAGGTAGCTCTTGAACCTTTGAGTACGAATCACAATAGCTTTCTTTTTCTTAGTGCTTTCCATGCACCAGGCCCTATACCAGCTATTTTAACTTTATGTCATTTATCCTCATAATGTGCTAACGTGGATGCTATCCCCACGTGATGGTTAACCTTGGGTGTTGATGGGACTGGATTAAGGGATACCAGGATCAGCAGTCGGGTTTTATCTCTGGGTGCGTCTGTGACAGTGTTTCCGAAGGAGACTGGTGTATAACTCAGCGGACTAAGTGGGACAGATCCGCCCTCCTTGTGGGTAGGCACCATCCAATCAGTCAGGGGCCCAGGCAGAACAAGAAGCCAGAAGAAGGCGAACTTGCCCTCTCTTCTGGAGCTGCAGCCCCTCTTCTGCTGTTCTTGGCAATCAGAACTCCAGGCTCTCCAGCCTTTGGTCACTGGGACCTGCCCCTGTGGTGTCCCTACTTCTGATGCTTCCCTGGGCCTACAGCTCGCAGACAAGCTGGTGACACTTCTCAGCCTTCATAATTGCATGAGCCAATTCCCATAATAAGCTCCCTCTCATATATCTATGTATATTTATCCTACTGATTCTGTGTCTCTGGAGAACTCTAAAATGCCTGCTTTTACAGATGAGGAAATTGGAACTCAGAGACCTCATTAAAGTCATGTGGCTAAGTGGCAGAGCAAGGATGCAAACTCCTATGTGATCTCAAAGCCTAAACCCTTCCGGATAACCAAGGCACATCCCATTGTATTGCATTCTCTATGGGAGAGCCCTCTCTCGACACGTGGGCAAACCATTCCTTGACTCAAATACTCAGGAACCACATCCAAGCCAGGATGGCAACAAGACTTACTGAGGTCGTAGGTCTGCGTGAGCATATCTCGCTCGAAGACGATGTCCACTGGAGGCACTGTCTTGGAGATGACCTCCTCGTCCTCGTCATCGTCATGGTCATTCCGTTTAAATTCCTTCAGCAGCTTAAGGCACCGAACCATGACATCGGTCCCTGGCAACACAAGCACGGGATTTCCAGCAATGAGTGAAAGCAGCACTGCGTGGGGGAGGTGAGGGGTCCTGAAATATCACAGCACATGTCGGCAGAGACAGAGATCCCCAGAAAGGTCACACATATCACCACGTCTGGACCTTTAAAAATGACTCATCACGGGGCACAAGACCTGAAAATGTATTCCATAAAGATGCTTTTGGTTTTTGAAAAAGTGAAGAAAGCAATGCAAATGGAAGAAATAATAAGGTGCTATTAGTCTTGGTAAATCAATAGTCGCCCTCACCTGCTGGAGACCAGCTCCATGACAACAGGAGACCTGCCTATCTCTTCCTGTTCCCTTCTCAGCACCCAGGACACGGCCCACACTCAGGAGGCATGCAAGCAGTATTTGCTGAAAGGATGAAAAACATCTTTGTCCTTTT